TAGTAATATTTATTATATTATATATATATATGTGTGTGTGTGTGTGGTGTGTGTGTGTGTGCGTGCGTGCGTGCGTGCGTGCGCGCGTGCGTGCGTACGTGCGTCACGAGTGGGGAAACAGGTGAATAATCGATTCGGTGCGAAAATGTCCAACACCAGATATCTCACGAAATGGTAACGATTGCACGGACACTGCAAAATCAATGTACTAAACAATATTTGTTCTGAGCAAATCGATAACGAAGGAACCTAGCCTAATGATTTTTTTATCGCATTGGTCATAGCACAATAAGCACGCGTGGGCACGGGGACACCTGGCATCTGCGTCGCTATCATACCAACAAGTCTGCCCGCCACAAAACGCACAGCGCCCCAGCGAATCTATCGCTCACTGTGCAGCAGCATCCATAGAGCATGCGCACAGCTGCTCCATCAGCTGCTGCGATTCCTACTCCGCCCTGCTAATGCATGTAATATCCGCATGCGAGCGCTACAGTTCACCGACCGCCATTTTGAGAGCAGCGTTAGCTAGCATATCGACATCATCGGCACAGCAACGACGACCAGATAGAAACGTTTTTCAGCCATGAAGCGCAAGACAGTGAGGACCCTATCCCTCATAGTGTGCACATTCACCTACCTGCTCGTTGGTGCTGCTGTATTTGATGCCCTGGAATCAGACAAGGAAATGGAAACTCGCCAGCTTCTGAAGAGCCTCGAGTCTCGGCTCATGGAGAAATACAACGTTTCCGAGGAGGACTACCGACGACTGTCGCATGCCATCACGTTCAGGATCCCACATAAGGCCGGTAGGCAGTGGAAGTTTGCGGGAGCATTCTTCTTCGCAGCCACCGTGATTACGACAATAGGTAAGATTGAGTCAGGTGTGATTGTGAATAAAACAGTAATCATAATATTGACAGGCGTACTCGTGAGTGCGTGCGTGCGCGTGCGTAGGTGCGTATACGTGTCGGCTCTGTGTGTTTCTTTTTCTGTTGTGTCGTTTCGTGTCGTTTCTCGTACCCTGTTATTTGTTGTGTAACGTGACTGTGTGTATGTGCATGGGTTGGTGTGAAAGAGACAAAGAGATGGAGATGGTGGAGTAGGCCTATATAGTTTATATATATATAGATATAGTAATATAGTTTGCATACGTGTGTAGTGTGTGTGTGTGTGTGTGTGTGTGTGTG